CCACCTTTCTAATTTCCCTGGAAATGACTCCAAGCACCCACTCATTTCCCTGCTCTACCTCTACCACACCATCCCCACCAGTTATTTGTCTGCTTTGTCTAAAAATCAGGAAAACCAGAACCCTATCATAGAGGACATATTTGTTCCAATGTGAAGCTTACATTCTACAAAATAACAATGTGGGCAAAATTGTATGTTATAATAAGGAGTAAACACTGCAACCCTTTGGGCAGCCAGTCCTAAAAATCTGTGGGCCTGGGCCACAGAACAGATGCTGCCCTTACCAGTTTTAAGACTGGAGATGACTGAAGTCTGTCTCTGTTTGCTGCCTCCATGGGAGGAAACCCCTGCAGCTGTTCTGAATGGACTGGGGCCAACGGGACGGGGTCAAGCAGCGTGACCCCAAAGCGTCAAAACCCAAAACTGTGTTGTTTTCAAGGATTGTCATTTATTATCAGCGCTTAAATATTTTATATTTGCACGTTTGATTCGCTAAAAACCAGGCTTTTCTCCCCAGTTTATAAAGGTGCTTTCGGGGAAGCCCGTTCCAGACAGCGGCGGGGAATCCTGGAACTGGCCGGAGCCATTCGCTGCACCACGGGCCGCTCGCCCTTCGCCTACCTGCGCTACGGCTGCTACTGCGGGCTGGGAGGGAGAGGATGGCCCAAGGACAGGGTGGACTGGTGAGAGCAACTGCTCAGCTCAGTAACCAAGTGCTAAAAGGACTAAAATATAGATCAGGCCTATTTAAGAGCAGGAGGGGACTGAGTTTAAACACAGTGTTTCCATAGATCTATACGAGCGCTGATTGCCTCTAACCCCAACTTCCCCTGCATTAACATTGGATTCACAGCACAACTGAGCTGCTTTGCTGGTGCTGTTCAACCAAGAGCTGAATAACTGAAGTCTTGTTGGACAAGGTTAAAGCTCAAACATTCAAAAAATCTCTAAAAGTAAAAATTAAAAAGGCAATTGAAAAATCTTGTGATTTTACTACCATGTCCCCTTTTATTAGCATTCAAAACAATAAATAAAAATTATGCAAAATCCAACCTGTTGAAAAATAAAAATAGTCTTAAAAAACAAACCTTTCTATTTAGTACTAAATCTCAGCATATTGACTATCATCAGTTTAATTTGTAATTGAACATTAGCTGAGAAGAAGATTATTTTTTGGGGTTTTTTGTTGTTTTGTTTTTTTTTTTCTGGACTTTTTTGCTTTTTTTTAAAGTTTCTCTGCATGCCCTTGATTTATTGATCTACTTCCTGGGCATGTGCTGTTCAACTGTTACATTCCACGGGATCTTTACACAGCAATTTGTGTGGAATTACCAAGTAATTACTTAATAAGCATAGGAAAAAGAAGTAACTGCAAAGTGAGAGCTCACTTTTCCTATTGCAGACACAAATTCCTCAGGCAACCTAAACACCATCTAAATATCATGTGCCTACTGTAATATGGTTTTAGGCTACCAGGAAGAAACAGAAGGAATGAATGAATGCAGAGTGCACAGTCTGTGGATACACCCACCAAGTCAAAAAAGAAAGGGTGTCATTAGTTTGCAGCAGAACCTTACAAGTTCCCTAATTTCAGGTCCTTGTTACCTCCCCTACTTGCTCTTCTGGGCTTCCAATGACTCCACACCAGACTCTGCCCCAGCACATTTTAATGTTTTAAGCATTAAAATGTGTCATTAAAGCTCACCTGTACTGCTCAGTTTCACAATGTCATAGAAAGCCTATGACCTTATTGTGCCAATTATGACAAGAACAACTTTAAAATCACAATTTTGAGCAATTTTCTGTATTTTCTCATGATACTGAGCTAACACTTCAGGTAGCTGTGCATTCACATATGTTGACTGTTCTATTATTTCCCAGCTGCAGTAACATGCTGATAAAACCCACTGACTGTGTGACCATAAACCACCAGTTCTGTTCCTCTCAGGTGCTGCTTTAACCACGACTGCTGCTATGGCAAGGCAGAACAAGCAGGTTGTCAGCCAAAGACTGAGAGCTACCACTGGGAATGCAAAGACAATTCTGCTGTGTGTGGTGAGTGAGCACTTGGGGGTTTTTGGTGTTGGGTTTTGGGGGGTGTGTGTTGGTTTGGGTGCTTTTTCATTTTTACTGCTACTGATTATCTCATTGACTTCATAGAATAAAGGCATTTTTTCAATTATCTGTAAAATTCTGACTTTACCATCCTTCCTTTTGTGACCTTTTTGCCAGGATGCACTGTGCCTCCAGAAAGCACAGCTATGCCACCCAACTGAATGCAGTTTCTTATTCTCGATCCCCACCTACTGACACACATAAGCAAACAAAATTCTGATCTACAAGCTCCTATTACCCTTTCAGAAAACACAGCCCAAAACCTCCTCCTTTTTCTCAGCATTGATGTTTGTTGAGGTCAGTTACTCTGCATGTAATTTTATGCTTCTACCCAGACTTCAAATTAGCTGGAGAAACCCTGACATGAACTTGTTCAAAGCAAGTCTGAGTTTCTGATGGCCATTCACAGGGAGCACAAACCCCTCAAATTTCATAACTTCATTTAGAATTTGCCTGACCTGAAAACAAATGAAAGTTTTGACATCAATTCCTTTCCTCCTTTACATTCAGCCTTTACTTTGCCCAAGTGTCCACCCCATGCAGAATCTCTCCTTGCTCATTTCTTTCTCTGCATCAGATGCACAAAGCCTCTTGTCTCTCAAACTAATTAATCTGTCATGTTACAGTCCATCTGTACTTGCCTGTAAAGATTCTGCTTCTGTCCCAGTCCAGAAGCTGATAATATTTTAAAATACTGGCCAAGACAGTAGGCATGTTGTCAAGGAACAAAGATGAAACAAAGTCCCTGTCATACCACAAAGACAAACTTTAGAGCAACTACAGGAGAAGGAATAGTTCTCAGTTAATGTATTTTGGCTTTTTTATCCTATCATGTTTTCATGTTGCTTATGCTATTGAGTAGCCCTTAGGGGAGGGAGTTGCAGCATCAACACAGATACATGAACACTTCCAGTTCACAGCAGAAATTGAGTTCATACACAAAACTGAACACTTGTTCTGCTCCTGGACAAATCTCAAGCAGAGATCTGGCTAAGCTTTTAAAATGTTAAATACTCAGACAAAATGTAATCAAAGATTCTTCAGTTTACAGACAGTTGCAGAGAGAAAAAAACACACATTTCTGCCTTGGCACACTAAACCCAAAATACATTGCTGTGGAAGAAAATGTTCATGCCAAGAAGAAACTCTCAGGCCAAGAAATCTGTTAAGTTGCAACATGACAATTACAAAACAAATATGACAAGACATGGATTTTATCACACTTAAACACACTTTACCTAACCTCTTACTGAATGCCTTGATAAAAAAGAGGTGAGCAGTTTGAGCTGGACATGGAACATCTTTGCATCCTGTGTATATATTTTTGGTGCTATATCCTTTAGTAGATGAAAGGATATGTGATGGAAACTATCTTCCCAACCTCAAGCTTCACTAGAGCAGGAGGGCAAGCAGGGAAGACCACACACCACTTTCTAAAGAGAAATCAGAGTTGTTTTATTAAAGAACATGAAGAAGAATATTTAAGTCTTTTCCTGACTATTGTATTTTCACCTGCCAAGATCGGTGATCACTGATTGATCCACGGATCAATTGTTGCTAAACCAAACCATTCTGTGTTGGCATTCCCTTTGGTGTGTTTTATTACTTCAGACTAACATCAAACTTACTGTGTTTTCTTTCAGATTCACTAGAAGACAAATGTCAAAAAATGGCCTGTGAATGTGACCGGGAAGCTGCCAAATGTTTTTCTAAAGCTCCGTATCACAGAAAATACCTTTTGTGGCCAGACTTTATGTGTGGTGAGATCCAGCCTTTGTGTAGGTATTAGACATCCAACATCAGTCCTCATGAAAACTCTGTGTGTATTTAAATCTAAAATGACTTTTTTGTGTCACAGTAGTGACAACAAATGATGTTGCCCTTTGCTGATGCTCCTTCTTGCCACCTCAGCCTCTCTGCCCAAGAATGGCCAAAGTAAACATTTATCCTCTTATTTACCTTGTGCAGTGCCCTTTTATTGACTAAATAGGAATGAGTTTATCAGATAAGTCCTGACAACATTAATTTTGTTTATATTGAGATTCACAGATTTTTCAGATCCATAATATCACCTGCTATGAACTTTTCATCCTCCCTCCACTGGCTATGAGATACAAATCAAACTTTTCAACTAACAATTATCTTAACATCTGTTAACTTTGAATTGACTGGAAAAAATGCATGAAGTGACAGTGTCAGCACAAAGAGCCCTCTCAACTACATTAAATACTTACAATAAAAGCCTAATTTAACTGTTGCTAATTAACTAATTTAACATTCATCTTAAGCAATCCTACCTGTATTAAAGAATTAATTCTAATTAATTCTATTTTTCTAGTATTCACTTTTTAAATACAGTTTTCTAAAAAAGCTATTCGTTTGATATGGCTCAAGCTCCTTACTCTATGTACACCTCAAACTTCCTGTAAGCACAGGGAGAAGTTCTGCCCTTAAAATTTTAGAGCCACCTTTAAAAGTGCAAATGCAAACCATCACCAAAACAGGTACATGAAAATGCAGCAGTTGTTGGGACCAACGTCCTTTTCCACAAGTGTTTGATCTTGGACTGCAAGAGTTTACCAAGTTCAGAAGTGTATACACCTCATTAGGATGTAAAGATGGTTCTAACTGGGGTCACTCCATAGACTTTTTTAACTTTTTAGGAAGAGAAATCAGTACCATGAATTGCTGAATAATAAACTTTTTCATAACTGCTAATTTTAACAGTTATAGAACCAGGAGTGTTTCATGTCTACTTCCACCCACCTCAACTTACTCAAAGACACAGGCCTACAGAAGAGTCTGCACAAGGCAAAACTAATGACAAGTACTTCAGTATAAAAAACTCAAACCCAAACAAAATAACCCACTCCTATAATAGTGACGATTTCAAAAGAGATCTTTAATCTTCCAAAATATTCACAGGCAAATTTAAAGTTCATACCAATGATACAAATGAAAAAACCCAAACAACAAACCAATGTAGAATGCAAAAAAAAAATCTGAATTTTCCTTCAGTCAAAAAAACATACATTAACAAATGTCAATCCTGTTTACACAAAATAACTTTCCAGTCAATATTTGCTCACGGATGTAGACACACATTGTACTGCAGTAAGATGTAATTACAGTGTCAGGTCACTTTTCCAAAACAATAATTTTTGAGAGAGAACCCTGAATTTAAGAATTAGCAACAGAATTCAAGAGGAAAGCATTAAAGGAGCTATTGGTGAAGTGTAACTGGTCTGAATAAAAGATTTCCTATGGCAATCACCACGTTTTCCAAAAGATGAGAAAACTCAAGTCTTTGCCCTCAAGAGCAGGAATTTTAGAGCAAACTCTGCTGTGAGACTGTGCAGAGACAGTCACAGCCTTACATGTAAAGACTGAAATAACTGATGTACTTTCAATATCAAGCCTATCCAGGAAGGGCATTCCTTTGGCAAACTTAAGTTGAGGAACACATCACTGAGTTGAAATGCTACATTTAAAAAGAAAGAAATCACTATAGCAGCTCCTAATCCTTTAAGGCAGGCTGGAAAATATACAGAATGCTCAGAACAGAGAAGTTTGATCTGATCAAAAATAAGGCAAAATGACTGTAGGAATTTTATGTGGCTAAAACAGGAATGTCTTCTTTTTTTTTTCCAATGGAAAATTCCTTTTGGATACTAGAGCCCATCCTCCAATTTGGAATCAACTGGTTTAATAGTAACTTACCTTAAGGCTTTTTTGTACGTTAGATTAACACAATCCACCACTTTTGCTGCCACATACATAAAGAAAAGCAAAGCTTATTTCAAATGTCCATTTTTAGAAGCTAAAGAGCCCAAAAGTTCCAAAGGCAATCACTGCACTTGTGTCTCCAGACGCCGCAGCTCTGTAACCACAAGATCAATGTTTATGATGGGGTTAAAATACAAGGCCCAGTAAAACAAACAATTGCAGACAAACTGAGGAATAAAAGGCCAAAAAATGGCAACAAAAAGACCCTGGGTTGAGACTTTCCAGAAATATCTCCACATTCTGTGAGGAATAGTCCTGTGAAAAAGGAAAGGGAGAGGCTTAGAGGGACTTCCTGGTTTGTTTTTACCCACTCTAAGAAAAGCTAATTGGTGTTCCAGCCTTAAATTATTTAGCCCTTACTTGGGATTACCCTTTACCTGTAAAACATTATTTTGCACTCCAGGAAAAGCTTTCTTAAAACCCAGCAGTACCAAACTTAAAGAGGAAGCATTAAGTCAGTGCACTTAGACCCCAAAGCCCAGCAGGCTCCAGTGTCACATTCCAGCCCTGCCACAGGTTATTCCGTGTCCCCTGTGCTCTTCTGTCCCCTGGCGGCTGGCAAAGGGAAAACCCAGCACACACCACAACAAGAACTTCTCCCAGGCAGTTTCTAAAACTAGAAATGAGACCACAGCAACTATCAAGTAATATTAATGTGCTCGAATTAAGATTAAAGTCATAACAGAAAACAGAAATTCCTGTAACTTACCAGAAATAATATCAGCATAGCTAAACTTATTTATGGTTCTGAGGATTCATCCTTTAATAACTACACTGGAAGCATATCATGACAAAATTCTGATGTATTTAGGCTCAGCTGGTAACTAATACCAGTTACCATAAAAGGCAGTTCTCACAGTAAGGGTTAGTATTTCCCAGTGGTTAAGAACATGTTTATTACTGTTTCTGCATTTGCTACATCTGATAAGTAAAACCAGCTGTAAGAAACCCTATCAAATATTCACATAAATAAAGGCATTCAGAAGTACTAGCATATGTAGGAATTCAGATTCACCTGTTCTTATTAACCTCAGTTATAGTCAGACACTGTCATTTCAGTGAGCAACTGTGAAATCATGAGATTGTTACTATTTATAAGGCCATCTACTTCCTACCCTCTTCAACAAACTCACTAAGACTTACTTCAATTCTCTTCTTGACCAGAGCCTCCAAAAAGAGAATAATTCCAGAACAGAGAGCAACATAGCATTCACAATTATAAATCTTGATGTCCAGTAGTGCACATCCAGCCAATCCCAAGCAAATTCAGCTATCAGCTGGTATGGCAAAAATAAATATTTTACAATGAATTCTCTCCATTGTTTCCATGAAGGATCTTTAAAGTCCTGTAAATTAGGATAAAAAGACTGTTAAACAATTTTCTATTAAACAAATACAATACTGGCTTATTTCTACTAGTCTTTTGTTGAAAAGCTGTTGTTTCACACATTGAAAGCAGCAAATTGTCTTTACTATACTTGTGGGTAGATAATACTATAGCACAGTAATTTCCATTAGATTAGAACATCACAGACAGCCAGACCTTAAAATGCCCTTTCTTATAACACAGGTAATTTGAGTGAAGAGCTTTTCTGTAGTCTTGTGAACTTCAGAAGGATGACTGTCACACATTTGAAGTCTTAAAAGCCTTAAACCGATCTTATTAAAGGTAATGGTTCCAACTCTGGTGAGCACATAAAATAAAATCAAGGAACCACTTACTCTGTAGGTTTGTTGTTTTTAAAGTCATAGTGTAAAGAGATGAAATGGTGAATAATTACTTTATGTTTTTATGCTGCTAGTCTTAAAAATGCTTGTAATTAAAGCAAGGAGCACATTTAATGTTTTGAACACTTACCAGTAGTTTTGTGAAAACATCTTCATGCTTGTCTTCTTGCATAGGACAAATTGTGTGGATGAAAGGTAGGAAAGCTTCTGCATAATCAAACAAATACAGGTATAACATACTGAGTCTGGGAGAGCTCTTCAGGGCATACAGAAGAAAGAGGGATTTTCCTGGATTTACAGCCTGAAAGATATCAAATTATCAAGTTTCAATCAGTGAAAAAATAAAATGAAAGGGACATGCCAGTTCTTAGATTTTCTGACAATTACTTTTCAAAGGATCATTTTTCAAATACCACATTTCATTAAACTGAGCAGTTTTCCCAAGCACAATTCCACTACCTCAACACTCCACCCGGCTTAAAAAAATTTTCGTTTAAAGATACTATTTAAAAAATATTTCATATATATGACACACTTAATCTAAAATTTACCTTATATTCCCAAAGGTTCTGTGGTGGTTTAACACCTAAAGCTTTCACACATTCCAGCTCTGCCATGATGGCTTTCCTGTGGTTGCTGTTCTCTATACTGTAAGGCTCTTTGGTGAAATCCTCCTCTGTGAGTGTGAGGAGCAGCCTACAAAAGCAGAAGAATTCAGAAGGCAAACAGTGTCTCTTCACCACAAAGATATGACTCACAAATAAGCAACTAAATACCAAAACAATAAGGTACTGATAGAAGGCAGCACCTTTTGGATTACAGAATGAATCACAGAATGCTTTGGGTTGGAAGACCTTAAAGATCATTGCTAAATTACATTCCATATCAAGTGTTCACACCAACTGCATCTCAGAGCCTGGGTTTTTAAATACTTCTTTTCCAGTTTCCTCTTGCCTGCTTTCAGCATTTCTCTTGGGTGGAATGCAACGATGCACGTGGCACATGGATACTTCCAAATGAAAGGGAAGGTGGGAGGGGTGGATAACACACAGGTAGAATTATACTCTCAGTATCATTTCAGTCTGCATTGTCAGCAATTTAAGAAGTTCTTAGAACATTTTCAAGTAGCTTGCTCAGTATCTGCTACTCAAGTTTTCACCAAAAATTGTTATAACTTCCCCTATAACGTATTCTGGTACCTTACAGAATATTCCCACAATCCATGGAACACAGAACAGTCATTTCCCAACAAGCATCCCTAATGAATCTGTCAGCAATCCCAACACACAACAGTTGCTCTTGGCCATCAGGCCCCTCACCTTCCATTCACTTTCTCCAGTAAAAACCTTTCTTTGTAATGTGAAGCCCATGGGCCCAGCTGCTCTAGCCAGAGGATCACTTCCTCAGCAGTCCATCTAGCAACAGGCTTGTGGACAAGATGATCTTCTTCAAATTCTCTGCTACTCCAGTGATAGCCAAGTAGAACTACCTAAGGGTGGATTAAAAAGATAAAAACCCCTCATCTTTTACCTGCAAAGCAAACACATTAATGATAAACACGCAATAAGAGGCTTGGCATGTAGAATTTTCCACTTCATGGGCCCTAGAATATTCAGGTTATAAAAAAGTATCTTGAAGTTTTCCCCACTTTGCCTAACTTCCATCTAAACTACATTGCAGTTGTAGTTCCTGACAGACCCCTGAAGGCCACTCTGCTCAGCTGAAGGCTCTTCTGTGCTGAGAAGCTTTTTTTATGTGCATGTAGTTTAAGAAGATTTGATTGCATGCTAAATGAAGTAAATATGGAAAACCAAGCAGATGAAACTTACTGCTACACAAGTTAAAGCTGTCAGAACGCCTGAGAAAAACCCTCCTCCTCGAGGATTAAATCTTCCTGTGTTCGGAACTGTAGGGATCTGGTCATTCCCATATTTTTGGAAGGCTGCTAAGCTGCGTGCTACATCACTGTTTTGTTGAATATCTTCTTTTCTTTGTTCAACGGCATCAGAAAATAGCTTTTCAATAACATCCCTAATGGGAAAAATATTTGTCATTGTACCAAAACCATTCAGGGTTCATATTCAGAAAAGGGACTAATTTTTGGATTTTTCTTTTCCAGCCTCAATTGTAGACTATCATCTTTGAAAGCAATGAAAAATCGGTTATTAATACTTAGTAAACTTAAACTTTTATCAATTACTTCCAAACAATGTTTTGCTTAGCTTCTAAAGTTAAAATACCACATAAACTCCTCCCATGTATATTTCTTATGTAAAATTAGAATTCTGTGTGCTACTGGTAAGTCTTGATTATTAAAAAATGGTAAAAGACAACATAAGAGCCTCCCCCCAATCCTACCATCTAATTATTAAAATATTATTAACCCAGATAAAGTATTATTAACAAAAGAAGTTGTGGGTAATTCAAAACATCAAACATATTTCTAGCTTTGTTCTGCAATAATTCCTATTACAGAAATAACTACACAATTATCAAAGATCAATTTGACTTACAATTATTAGAAAACAACCAGCTATATAAAAAGATTCAAGGGTCTCAATACTAAAAAAGGATCCCTCCTCTCCATCTCCCCAAAAAATTCAGAAGAAACCTCCCCCACTCCAGCCCCCCAAACAAAATCAACCAACACACCCCTTAGTTCCATGCAGAAAAATGGCCTTGAACAGTTCAGTACAAGTGCAGAACATGAAAGCCTTTGGAATTTAAATATCCTTGCGACAGTTCAGATTACCAATAAGCTACAAAATTCTGAGAAACTCAAGAATTCAGACAGCTAATTTCAGTGGTTTGATTTATCCAAAAATGGCTTTCACAAAAGAGTACACTCACCTGAGCAGGATGTTGACTTTGGGGAACCCTTCCCATTTTTCTCTGCATTCGGGGCACTCGTTCTTCTTGGATGACACCCACCACAAGGCCAGGCAATGCCTACAGAAACTGTGGCCACAGTTCAGGGTGGTGGGATCGACCAGGATGTCGTAACAGCAGTGGCAAAGGAACTCACTGACTGAGATCTGCCCACCCACGTCAGCAGTAGCACCTGTTTCACCTTCTGCCCTCTCCCTTTCCCCTTGTAAAGTCTCATCTTCTTCCATTTTCTTTTATGCCTCACGCAAACAGAAAGCCCTCTCAGATCTTCAAACCACGTAAGGCATTACCTCTGCAAAGCAACAAAATAAACCTCATTCAGAGAAAGGTTCTGATAGAAGTTTAGGATGGTAAGCAGTGTAATTTCTCATGGCACTGCTTTTGCCGCTGGGATGGTTTTAAATCCTCTAAGCAACACAGCCCGCCCCCAAAATGAAACATCATCTACTTTTTCAACAACATATTCATTGCAAACTACAATCAAAACCAGATTCTAGACGTAAACAGCTGGGTTTCATCTCCCTCTACTTTCTTCTCCTGTCTTACGAAACACATGAAAGTGAAACAAAGTAACTCACTGACCTACATGACTTGACTGAATCAAGGTTTTAGTAAAAGACACCAATCAAAAGAAATATAATTAGAAAATACCATCAGAGATGGTATTTTCAAAGCTAAAACACCAGTATAACATAAGGCTCTAATTTACTTCATCCCTCTTCCTTCCAAGCATACAGAATAAAACATTACTTACAAGAGTCAATGCCAGACATTGCTGGCAATGTTAAAAAGAAGAAAAGTTTGATCCACAAAGTCACATGTTTCAGAGTTACAAGGGATAGACCTGCTTCCACTTCAGTGAAGGTCTGAGCCCTGCATTAACTTTACTGACAGTTATACTTCGTTAGTATTTCAAAAAACACATAGACAGGAAGAGTCTAAGACTGTTCCAAGCTTACCAAAGATACAAATCTATTTGCTTGATGCTCCTATTCCACTCTCTCAGATGGCAGTATCTAGTTTCTTAAGAAAAACACTGATCCAGATCACTCACTCATCTCTCGTGATATGTCAGAAGATACCAAAAACGACACAATTTTCTCCTCAGGTACTACCAAACCAAAATATGACTACACTCTCCACTGTGTGGCTCCTGCTCACTACCAAATTACCTATCTGCCATCCAGATTAAGCACAAAGAGGTAAGGATGCAAGCCGGTAAAGAACGGAAATGAAAAAAAAACAAACAAACGAAACAACAATCAAGTACAGAAACACAATAGTGAAACCAGAATCCTCAGACCGCTTACAAACCTGTATTTCCCGGCAGAGCGCCCACCGTCGGCTTTCTAAAACACAAACCTGAAACAGCACCTACAGGAGGAGAAATAAAACCAAGGTTTTGCACTTAAAAGCATTCTTCTGGTTTTCCCAGAAGGCAGAGCCAGCAGGATTTCCGTGGGTGGAAAAATATTTCGCCGCCCAGTCTCCACCAAATTAAGACCCAGCAGCAGCAGGACGGTTTCTGGATCCTCTCCTGCCTCCTCTTTCCAGCTCCGCCTTTCTCCCCCCCCACCCCGCGCTGCTTCCTCCGCCGCGTTTCCTGCGCTGGGCAGGGCAGGGCTGGGCAGGGCAGGGCTGGGCAGGGCCCGGCGGAGTGGCAGCCCCGCCGTGCCCCGTTCCCAGCCCCGTGGTGCCCCGTTCCCAGCCCCGCGGTGCCCCGTTCCCAGCCCCGCGGTGCCCCGTTCCCAGCCCCGTGGTGCCCCGTTCCCCGCCCCGTTCCCCGCAGGAGCCGGGCCCGCCCCGGCACTGCCCCCGGTGCGGTAACGCCGCAGCCGCCCTGCCGGGCCGTCCGTGTTAGCAGAGACACATGAGAGTGTATCTGTAGAGACACACATTCGCTATTATTTATTTATCAATCTCTGTTCCCTTACTGCAATTCTTTTCGACCGAGTGCAAAGAAAAATGAGTGATTCGTTCTGTACAACCACCTGAAAAGGAGGTTGCAGCCAGGTTGGACTTTTGGACTCCGGGGTCAGTTCTAACTACTAGGTGTTTATTTTACAGGTGAAAAGAAGCAAAGAGTTCCTGGATTTGTCAGCTAGGAATTCCTGGATTTGGCGGGAAATGTCAGGTTTATACACAGCCATGAGCACTTTAACGAGAAACTGCAGGAACGTATGTTAAAAAATTGAGAAGTAACATGAAAATTTAAGGCTTCAGCCAATTTACTGTAAAATAGAAATATCTCTACTATTATTTTAACTAATGCCTTACTGGGCACCATTTAATCATCCTGGATGACTTGTGTGTAGAATAAATTGCTTACGCTGAAAAGGCAAAACTTAGTCTTGAAGAATCTTTAAAAGCTCTCTCCGCTAAGTCTGGTGTAATTCTTTATCTTCTTCTCTATGCCGAAACTGCCTCTCAATTTATGGAGACTTTTCCATTTGTTTTCATTCTGCTGGGATTCTGGAAAAGATGCTTCCCGTGCCGTGTGAACTTTAACCCTGCAGCCCATTCACTAAACTCTCACAGTGTCCGTGCCCACAGCTCCTGCCCTGGGCAGCTCCTCCTCCCACAGCGCTGCCGCGGGGACAGAACGTTTGTTATTATACAATTACGTGTGAAAGTGCTGGTTTTACCAGGAAGGCGAACGCTTCTTCCGTAACACGCCAAGCCTTCCAGTTCCTCCGGACTTGACATTGTTAAGGCACCACCACCAGCAGCTCTCCTGGTGTCTCCTCAGCAGGTTCCCATCCCTTCTTCCTTCCTGGTGCTAGTTACGCATTTCTGGGCTGAAAGGCGAGGGCTCTGTGGGCCGTGACATCTCACAACGCCCCACGGGAGAGCGGCGGGGTGGGACTCCTTCCTTCCCCGGGCAGCGCCGCTACAGCCGCTCCGCTGCCGCGGCGGGCAGGGCCGGCGGCTGAGGGCCCCTTGCAGCCCGAACAGCCCGGCAGAGCAGCGAGGGCAGCCGTGTCCGTGCTCGGTGCGGGGCAGGGCGGGCAGAGCACAGCGGCTGCCCCGGGGCAGCGCAGAGCGCTCCGTGCCCTGAGGGCGCCGCCCCGGCAGGAAATGGCGGCCGGGCGCGCTCACGTGCGCGCTCACGTGCGGCGCGCGGGGCGGCCCCGGAAGCGCTCGGCGGGGCCGGGCCGGGCTGCGGCGGGCGCGGGATGGAGGTGACCAGGAGCAGTGAGTGACCGCCCGGAGCGACACCCCACCCCTGAGCAGAGCCCTGCCGGCTTCCCTGCCCCGGGCTCGGCCTCTCCTTCGTGGCGAAGGGGGTCCCCGCACCTCCCCTGGCCCGTGAGGGGCTGCCCTGAGGCGGGAGGCGCGGCCCCGGGGCTGAGGGGGCCCGAGGGGCGCCGGGCTGCCCCAGGGTTTGGTGCGTAACCTCAGGTGCGTTTTACCCCTTTCCCCGCAGATTTTAAGGATAACCTAAACAAAGTGTATGAAGCCATTGAAGAGTCAGACTTCCTGGCCATCGATGGGGAGTTTTCAGGTACGGTCACGCCGGTTTTGTGGTTGTGAGCTGTTGGCAATGTCTGTGGGGTGGTCCCCGTGCCCCAGTTCGCTGTCTCAGTGTTGGCTTGAAAAAGCTAAAGCTGAGGCTACTGCAAAGTGATTGAACGGCTTTTTATGTCTGCGATAGCAAGGTTTGGGTCAAAGATACATGTTATGCTAATGCTGCCTCTACTCCCTCCCCGCAGTAATCTTTCAATGTGTTAATTGATATTCAGTTGCAGCTGAGGGGGAGAAAAGAATAGCTTTATATGTAATATATCATGAAAGTGAAAGATTCAGATAAATGAGAAAGGCCCTGCAAGTATTTGGACAGGCAAGGGCAGCATTGAGAACTTGTATGTTTGTAAAATCCAGAGGGTGTGTGTGTCACAGAGATGCTTTAATAGGTACTTTGATTTTGGGATGTAGAGTTCAGTCGTCCATGAAACATGATCCATGTGGATCTTGAGCCATGAATGTGATCAAAACTTGGTTTTGTTAGATGTGGTGCTTATGGAAATACAGTTGTTGTTGTTGTGTATTGTTTGAAGTGGCTAAGTCATTTGGTAGATCCCTGGGCAGCACTCTTCCCATTTTTAGTTTGGCTTTGATCCTGCACTGTGCTGTAAAGTCCATCTATGTTATTTTTTGGAAGGTCTTTGCCTGTTACTGACATGTTGAATAGGAACCAGAATGGCAGAACTTCTGCAGAAGAGCTTTGCTGCTGGAACACTACTGTTAAAATGGGTGGCTTTTATGCAGTAGGAAATCCTTCTGAACTGAAATAATTGTAACATTAAGTGAAACCATTTTTCTTAAATTATCAGTTGTTGCATTTCTTTGCTGTGGCTAATTTTGAAAAGCTTACCCAATGCAAAATATGTTCTACTTTTTCAGGGATCAGTGATGGGCCTTCTGTTAGTGCATTAACAAATGGCTTTGACACTCCAGAAGAAAGGTATCAAAAACTTAAAAAGGTAAAGTGTTTGCACTGACTGAAAGGAAAATTCTGGAAAAAGGTTAGAATGCCTTAGTTCATCATGGAGACAACACAGGGAAGTATGTCATGGATCTAAAACTGACTTACAGGCAGCAGATGGGATTTGCTTGTTTTGTTTTCTGCTAACACAAGAATTGAATGTTGCATTAAGCTTACAGAAGTCATGGTCAGAACAGACAGAGATGATTCCTCATACAAGAATGAGTAAAGGTGTAGAACTTGTTAAAGGATGTTGAGAGTGTTAACATTTGTGAGTTCAAAGGGGAATTGGGTGAGAGGAATTCAGTGAGGAGAAGCTTCATCAGTTCAGGCCCTGCAGGCACAGTCAGTCTCTGTTAACATTTTAAGGAGTCTGTTGTATCAGAAGTCAGACCCAAATTCTTTGTTGTCACCTTCTTAAAGCTTTACCTTTAACATTTAATAACTTGATTAATTGATATTTTTGATCTTTATGTTCAAGAGGGCTAGTTTTGAATGCCTGTATCCAGTGTAAGCCACGTGGATTAGAAGAATATTAAGTGTGTTGTTACATGTATTTGAAAACTCCTCTCACACTGTAGGGAATGTAAATGAACATTGAGAAGGACTGAGAAGCTGCTTTGGGTGCAGCATGTCCTGTGTGTGAGCAACAGGTGGAGAGAGAGATGGGACTTCCCTCAGTTCTTGTCTGTTTATGCAGTAGAAGTGCATACAACAAATCATCTTTGGGCAATAGTAAGATGATTAAATGCAGATGAAAACTAGTTGAAAAACTCTGGTGTGTTTATTTCAAAATTACCAGCAAAACAAACGTTGGTTAAGAAGATTCAGTTTACTTAATTTGGAAATGGAGAGAAGTCATATGTGGATGCACCCCGGTAATCTTTAAATGTGTACAGGTCTTATTCTCATGCAAAGTTTTCCTTTCCTTTCCAGCATTCCATGGATTTTTTGCTCTTTCAGTTTGGCCTTTGCACTTTTAAATATGGTGACACAGAAGAAAAGTATGTCATTCTCTTATTTCTTGGTTTTTTAATTGAGGATATTCTAAAGTGATACTGATAAGCTCTATTGACATGCAACTCATCTTCTCCACAGGTATATAATGAAGTCATTTAATTTCTATATTTTTCCAAAACCCTTTAACAGAAATTCACCAGATGTCAAGTTTGTCTGTCAGGTTAGTAGAAAAACAAGTTTGATTTTGTTTGGTTAAGGTATACCTGCAGCAAACTTCACCTTAAAAGGTGGAAAACTAGAAGTTTCTGGGGTTTGGTTTTGGTTTTTTTCTTATAAGAGAAATAAACATCAGTTAAGAGCAATCCCTAAAAATGAGCTTTAAGGCAATATCGTTGACTTCAGTTTTTAAATCTTGTTATGTATTACATTGTGTGGTTTCTGGAATTGGAGATAATATTCCAAACCTGGCAAGATGATTCTAATTTTTTCCCTTTTCTCACTGGACTTCATGTTCCCTTTTCCTGTTTTATCCTATATTCTCATCTGCTTGTCTTACTTTTATTTCTTCCTAGGCTATTGCCAGCATTTTTCCTGTCTCAGATTTGTTGTCCTGAACATTTTGCTTCCTTTAGTTTCCTCTCTCCACGTAGCTCATTCTTTCATCTCTATCCCTTAGGATATTTATTGTTCTATGAAAGTTCAAAATAAATAACAAAAGTAATATTGCCTGAATTCTTGTTTAGGGGCAAAAACGTTGTTGCTCTTGACTTTGGACTTTGTATAATTTCTTAAAAAGTGTGAAAATAACCGAATGCCACAGCTCCTTTTCCAAATGTAAAGTCTTTTTCTTTTGTTGCAGAGTTCAAGTATAGATTTTTTAGCAAACCAAGGATTTGATTTTAATAAAGTTTTTCGCAACGGTGAGTTGTGTGGGTTTTTTTTTTATATTTCTTTCAATGTCTGCAATATTTATGATGACACCTTTCACTGTGTTCTGCAAGAAGAAAAAAGGCTGCTATTCATGATACTCTCTTAACACACAGTGAAGCTCTCGAGTTATTCTTCTCTCTTTTACTGTTGTGCTGATAGTAACTCCCTTTCCAAGAATTCATTGTATAGGTTCAACAGAATGGAATTCCTCTTTACAGGAGGGTTTGGTTGTTTCTTGTTGTGCAGTGGCAAAGCATGAATGGAGAGATCCATAGCAATGAATCAGAAGTCATGTTTTAGGAAGGGTATCAGTGCCCTGTAACAGTGCTGCTGCAGTCTGGGATTCAGGTGATGCAGGGAGCAAGGGAGAGGAGGGCTAAATATTACTGTGGTTGGGACCTGTGGCTCTGCAGTCCTTGGGCTCATTCCCTGTCCAGTGGTACCAGCTAGTGTGGCATGTGCTGGAGGGAAGCCTGGATGGACACAGATAACCAGTGGGACTGAAAGGAAGGGTTTATTTTCACTGTAAAGAGTGGCAGATGCTTGGTTAGTGATAAGTCTTTGTTGAATCCCTACACATCCCTAATTTGTCTGTAATTATGATGAGCTTTTGCTTTTTTTCTTCTTGTTAGGAATTCCATATTTAAACCAGGAAGAAGAAAGACAGCTAAGGGAACAGTATGATGAAAAGCGTTCTCAAGCCAATGGTGCAGGATCTCTGTCATACATTTCTCCTAATTCCACAAAGTGTCCTGTAACAATTCCTGAAGATCAGAAAAAATTTATTGAGAAAGTAGTGTAAGTTAAATTGTTTCATATCCTCTGATGTTCTTGAAGGTAAAATGTGAACTGTAGTGATATTTTTGTATGTTGAAGCCATTTTTATTAGTTCACTGGTTTTAAAATGCTGCTCTTTTTGTTTTGAAGTGTTTTCTTGTCTTTTGGGGTGAGCTGTAAACTTCCAAAAAATAAAACAGTAGATATAGAAGCAAATAATTATTTCCTCCAGGGAACAGATAGAAGACTTATTAAAGAATGAAGAAAGTGAAAGTTTGGAACTGGAGCCATGTACAGGGTGAGTTTCTGAAGTTGCATATCTTCTAAAAATATTTGTTGTTTGGTCATACAGAATTAGGGGAGTGACAAGGAAGACTGTCTTTACTTGAGCTGACTGTAGCAAAATTTACATTTGATTGATTTTTTTGTATGTTGAGAAAATGTGCCTCTGTATATGGGTGTCATAGTTTGCTGTGTGAGCTGTAACTTCTGTATGTAGTGGCACCATATTTAAGTACAGCCAAAAAATGTCTTGTATATATGGGCCTCCTCTTGCTATTGCTGAAGTTTTCCATAAGCCTTGGATATGCATTTTAAAAATAAACTTTTCAAATCTGTTGGACTACTACTTGTTTGTAGTTGACCGTGTGTTACTGTTTTTATTAGGTCTCCTTCCCAAAAATCTATTTAGCTTTGGGGTCTGGATGTTTGGAGAGGATGGTTGTTTAAAAAATTTTAAAAAAAATTGAATTTAGAAATAGCAGAACATTGTGAGATGAGGTAAGATATCATCACTGTATCTGTATGGAGTGATCATGGCTCCAGAATATTTTCTTATGAGAAGATCTGTGGGTAACTGTACAAA